CAATCTGACTTAATTCCAGATTAACCAACATCCCTTCCTAGATCAGACCAGTGCACACATGGAAACACAAGTGGTGTGACTTCCATTAACCCTTTCCAGTCCGAGGAAGCTCAGAGGGGGCTCGGTAGAGAACTGTTACTGTACGTGTGGAGCTGTGACGCCTCGGGGCGGGGTTGGGGGGGAGGGGGGGCATGTAGAGCTTTAGGATTTTGCTGGGGGTGGGGATGGGGGGGGGGTGGGGTGTGTGGAACTGGAGAGGGTTAACAGAACCAGTGCGACACGCGTCCCCTACCACACTCAGAGCATGTCACTGCCGCCGAGCCAGCGCCGCGCTGGGACGCTGAGCCGGCACACGCAGCAGCCTGCATGCAAACGCTGTCTTCTCCCACTGACTGGCTGGGGAACTGCTGGAGGAGGAAGGTGGGGAGGGTCGCTGGGGCCCCCCTGGTCAGCGTACCGCACAAGGGGAGCGGAGGGTCCCCACCCCAGGCCCTGGGCTTGTCACTTATAGAAATTAGACAGCTGTTAGGATTCCTGTTTCTTAACTGCGCTTTGATTTTTAGGGCTTCAGCCCTGTTTTTCCCTATAGGGTCTAGAGTGCTTGTGTTGAGTAAAAGGGAGAAGCCCAAACGTTCAAAGCTGCTAAATGTTCTCTTTGCCATAAAGATTCAGTGTAACCGTGTGATCACATTATAGGATTCTCTTCTGTCCCTAGGTGTTGGTCTGACTTCCTTTGTTTTCAGGAGGGGGGTGGGGGTAGTGCCTTGATCACTGTCGGTCTCCGCCACGGAGACGATCCTAGAAGCTGTATTTACAATATAGCACAGCTGGGAGTATACTGACTTTACCAGCAACTGAAAAAGCTTAAAAATGGCTTTTCCTAGCCAGTCCTGTGCATGTGATACGGGGTGAGGGCGGCACGTCAGAGGGAAGATTCGGGGTGGTAACGCAAGGGAAGGAAACCTGGCGATGCAGGAGGGAGGCCTGGAGCAGCCCGCGGCGCTGCCGAGAGGGGAGAGGTCTGGCCCCGGGCACGTTTTCCAGGCTATGGGGGAAGTAGTTGGATCTCGGAGCGTGTTTCGGGGGGGGGTTCAGTGCGTTGGCTGCGGCCCCGGACAGCGTGAGACGGACTCACCGACACCCCGGCGGGCTCTCCATCCCCAGCTCCTGAGATTCAACGGCTTTACTTACACGTGAGATGAAGCACAAGTGGTGGAGATGTGGGTGTGGGGAGGTTGGAAGGGAGCCCTGCGTGTATGTTTTAAATTATTTTCCTCTTAGAAACTTTTATTTTAATGATCTGTGACCTGTCAGGGAAAGAAGAGAGATTGTGTGAGCACAGGACAAAAATAAATCGGCTTATTCACTGTACAAGCATTTGTTTCGTGGTTTCTTTTTTAATTTTTTTTAAAAAGATTAAGCATGTCAGGGAAAAGAACCAGCCTCTGCTGGTGGGTCCTTCTCCCACCCAGTAGCTCTCGCTGAGCTGGGAGCAGGTCTGGTTTGCCTCCAGCAATGGTCTGGGGAGGGAGTCGCTGCCATCCCGGCCTGCAGGTAACAGCCTCCGAGGGGAGGAAAATGAAAGGCTCCGCGGTTGTGGGAAACACTGGGCTCTGGCTCAGCCACTCTTTTCCTTACTTCACAACAGCCTCTTCTTAAAGCAAGCCGAGGAAAAGTGTGTTTCTGGTTAAATGTGGAGCAAGCCCTGGGTCTCTCGGCCAAAGCTGCCGTAGTTCAAAGGCCGGGGCGCAGCGTGGGGCCGCGGGTCGGAGCTGCCTCGGCACAGCCCCGTCCCTCTCCTCGGCGCTTCGCCTCTGTGTCCTGCTTCGGGGGAGCAAATGGCATCGGGGCAGCTCGAACCCTCCCTTCCCTCTCGCAGCTCCGGCCGGCGCCGCTGCTGTGCCGCAAGCCCCACCTTCCCGGCAGGTTTCAGGCTGTAGCGTTGGTTACGGAGCCAAAGTTTTTTCAATCACCAGCGTATTTCTATCGGGCTGTGCGGGCCGGGGACAAGCGTTGGGAGCCAACGCAGGGGCTCTGCTGATCCCTCGGCTCAGCTTTTCCCCCACGTTGGTGGCTGGGAGAAGGGCTGGCTGCGAGCCCGCGGGCAACTGCCAGGCCGGGGCTGGCTCCAATCTCTGCTTTGCAGGGCTCAGCAGAGCTTGGATCACCCCCACCCCAAGCCGAGCTCAAGGACGGGCCCTGCCTTTGCTGCTGTTTCTCGGGAGGGGCAGCAGCAGCACAGGGAGGGGGGACGGGTGGCTCTGAAGCCAGGCCGCTGCCGAAAACCTCCCGCTGCGGCCAGGCAGGAACCCAGGCCCTGCAGACAGACGCCACGCACAGCTCGGATGAACAAACCGGGGCTGGAAAACCGCTCCTGGGAACTGCTGATGCACCAGCACGACTGAGCTGGTGCTATCTCTGCACTTCAAAGCAGCATTTTGGGATGCCTTCCTCATGACCCAGCACCCTATCACTCATCTCCCTCTATTTTTTTAGTTATAGATGCCTTTCACTAAGGCTTTAATACCCACCGCCTTACTGGCGCTGCTGCCTGTGTTTCCTCATCTGGCGTCACTGTTACGCAGCGGTTCCTGCACCCCTACATCGAGTAGTCAATGAAAGCCAGGACGCCGGGGTGAGACGCTGCTTTGGGGGCACCAACGCCTCGTGCCCACCAGCCTTGGCCAGACACAACCCAAGGAGAAGGCAGAAAACGCGCTGCCGGCCCCGCTCTGCTCCCCCGCCGGGGTTCCCGTGGGGCAAATGTCATTTTCCTGGGAATGAAACTTCTCCTTGTGGGACTGGAAGAGTTCAGCTACTCCTGCTGCCGGAGCTGAGCCCAGGCCAGCTCTACGCACAGCAACAGCTCAGCCAAGGGGAACGTGAAGCATTAAAATACATGCTCTGAGGTGCTTCCCGTCTCTCTTTCTGGGCTCTAGGGTATTTATTTCAGATATTCCTTCAGGGGCTGTTTTAGAATGTAATACCGGTTTGCAAAAAAACCCGCAGGGGTTTTTCCCGGCCTGCTGTGAGAAGATTACAGCCCTCCCGGAGGGGTTCCTGCCCCCTCCCTGGCTGGAGAAGAGAAGCACGGACACAGGAGGGGAGGATACATGGCTCTACCCCAGTTCCAGTCTCCCTTTGCTGCCTCTTCCCCGCAGAATGGAACCTTTTACTTCGCAACTCCGCTCCTACACTCACACCCGTCCTTGCTCGCACACAGACGTGCCAGCAAACCCCCCACCTCTCTGGCGGGAGGCTCCAGGTGAGCAGAGCTCTGTTCCCCAGCCTCCGGTACAGCTTCAGAGCCACCAGCCCAAGCTGAGAACAAGCCTGACAAAAACCTATCCCCGCTCTGGCTCCCTGCCTGTGCCTGTCCCATCCCGCGCTGGGCGGCCGGGCACCGGGGGGGGGCAGGTGAGATGGGAGCTTAACCAGCTCTTCACCCCCCCCCCACCCCCCCGTGCCGTCACTCGCACGTCAGGCCACGCGCCGTCCGAGGCGCAGGCTGCCCGCCGGCCCGTAATCAGGTGAAGAGCAGACCTTTCATTTTCCGAAGCAGGAAGCACTCAGCCACCAGCGGGGCCTCGTGCTTCTGATCTCGGCGAGAGCCGCAGCTCCCAGCGGCCCTTTGAACCAGCGGCCGGCTGCTGCCCGAGCCCTCGGCACAGCAGTCGGGCAGCCTCGCGCCGGCGCGCTCGCTTCCCCGGGGCCAGCCCCTGGTTTTCTGCCAGACCCCGTGGGGGCACAAGGCAGGGACAGAGGAGCTGCCTCTGCCCTGCCTCTGGCAGCCCAAGGCGACGGCGAGCCTGGAGAAGGCCACCTCGTCATCGCCATCAGATCTCTCTGAGCACGTCACCGGGGTTGCCAGACTATTTTTCTCCCGTGCCTCGGTTTCCTGAGAGGTGACCCATCCCCGCTTACACAGTGCCACAGCCAGAGACAGCCGGTACCCGGAGATGGGGCGCCAGCCTGCAGCTCGCACAGGAGCCCCACGTACTCAGCATGGTCACTTGTCCCACCCCCGGGGATGGAGCAACGCGCATCTTCCAGCTACCTGCTGCGATCGATCTCCCCAGAGCCTCCCCAGGGAACCGCAGCCTTCTTACGTTCAATTAAGTGGACGTTACCCCTTCCATCTCTAGTGATTAATACAGGTTTAATTGCCGCTTCTGCTGGCTGCTAGGGCAGGGCAGGCATTTCGCCGTCCCGCTGGGTATAGGTTGTGCTGTTGCGAATAACCCGGATTTCAAGCGCCTGCGTACTTTTGCAGCCCTGAGTACCGCACAAAACCACCCTGCCTCTCCCTGTGAACACCAGAAACCTCTGAGCCAGGAAGCCCAATCCTCCTCCCAGGAATGCTTCAGCCCACTCCGTACTGCTGCGTGGAGTGTTGGGCAGAGGAGGATGGATCTACCCTTCATACACCGGAGCTCACGGCCTTCAGCAAGGCCGTACCAAGGACGAAGTGAGGCCAGCTCCATCTTCAGCCACACGGTCACCAGAACCATTGCCAGAGCTTTAGTAACCCGTCTGTAAATGCAAAGCGACAAAGTCTGCTCAACGTTCAGATGAGAATTGAAGTAAAGGTCACTTACCCCACCTCTGGTGCCGGATCCTGGCTAGGAAACACGCGCCGCGCACGCTCCTGGCTGAAGCAGCATCTTGCTACGGCAAACGAGGTCCCGCATCAGGGCTAGTCCTCTGGTCTCCAGGGGAGAGCCTCGACTCGGGCCTCTGGACACTAAGCTCTACGTCACTTCTCCAGACGAAAGTCAACATAAACCAGAACCTGCTGTCAGCTGCTCCAAAGCTCCTGCTGCCGTCGACACCCAGATCGGAGCCCCCAGGCTAACCTGGGCTGCACCAGAGCTAACCTTGCTCAGAGGGAACCGCAACCGCAGGCTAACTTCCCTCCGTGACCTGCTCTACACCTCGTCACTCATCTCATGCACAAAGAGCTGGAGGAAGGAGCAAGGTAGAGAAGAAAAAAATCAGCATTATAAATCTAAAATTTTATTGAGACAAAAAACTGACAGAGCTTGGTATGAAGTTAAAATCCAAACACGTACTTTACATTTAAACAACGTTTTCACAGAAACCTAAACACATGCTTTTAAAAAAGGTTTGTACAATGCAAGTCTAGATACATACCACCCTACAAGGAGGTGCCAGGAGTCTGGTGGGGCTCATGACTCCAGACATTAAATAGTTCAGTATTTGTAATAAATCTGATTAAAAAAAAAAAAAACCCTCAGAAGATTCAGGGTAACACATCCGCCTCCAGCACCAACGTCTGGCTTCCTACAAACAATCACTTGTTATGGGAGAATATGGAATTGATTTTTCTCTTGTGCTGCTGTTGAGTTCCTCTCCCTCCCAGAACTAAAAGGTTCCCAATGCTGCTGGCTGGACAGTCAAGGTGAGAAAAGAAACAAGTAGTCAGAAGTCTCTCTTCCCCCCCTAGTTTTCAGAAATAGCACCTTTTAATGGAAAGAAGGGTAGAAAGGCTTTTAAAGGGTTAAAATCCATTCCTGCCCCACACCCCACCCTCCCACATACAATGCATGTGTCAGTAACTGGCAGTTCTGCTTCAGGACAATACGAATCACAAGTTTGCATTTTCACAAGTCTCCCCCCATCCCCCCCTACCCTCCCCCTAAAAATTGCTCGCAGGGTTTTGAGGATCTTGGCTCCAGAGATTTGGACGTTCACAGTTACAGTCTCATGTCAGTGTCCCTGTCTCCCTAGTTCTGTCATCAATACTGGGCTCTTTCCCTTTCCCCCACCCCCCCCCCACTTTTTTTTGTCTTTTTTTTTTTTTTTTTTTTTTTCCTTTCTCAATTCAGGTTCTAAAAAAGATCTGGAAATGATCTGGAACATTGTCACCAGACCTCATCTCCCTCCTTCCCCAGTTAAACAAGAGAACAATTTCCCCACATCCCTCCCCCCCAGCCCCCCAAACCAATACACCAGTAAATAGCAAAAGAAAAAACAAAAACAAAAACAACAAAAAAAAAAACAACAAACAAAAAACCAAAAGCCTACACACATGCTACGCCGTAAAAATGCAGAGTTAACACTATTGGGAAGAAGGCTGTGGGTTGCTGAGATGGTCTTTGAAGAATAAGCAGTATCCCTCTGCACTCCTTTTCCCCAGCCCACCCATCACCAGTGATAGTCCTTCATGGAAGGGGCTTTGCTTCCTCTCCCACAAGCTGCAGAATAAGCAGCCTTGAAACAAACACCCCAGTTTCCCCCCTAACCCTCCCTAGTATCCCCTTGTCCTTCCCTCCCCCCCCCCCCCCCCCCCCAAATTGAGCCGGGCTGGTTTGAATCTGTACACAGCATGAAGCTGCAGAAAGCAGTTGAGCAGCTGCAGGGCACAGAAACCATACTGGTCTCTTCAAAGGGCATCTTCTCCAGCCATCTCTACGCTCCCAACCGAGCAGAGCTGCGTTCTCTCCCTCCTGCTCAAACCCACAGTTCAGATCTTTATACAAAGGCTGGCCAGAGCGGGTGCCAGGGGTTAGTTCTTGTCCTCTTTCTTGTCATCGTCCTCTGAGGGGTAGGAATGCCATGTCAACCTCTCCTCATAGAACGAGATGACCACCTGGGGGCACTTGATGTTGGCTTCCTTGGCAGGGACCAGGTCAGCCTCGTCGGAGTTCTTCCTACAGGCCAGAGCAGAGGTGCAAGTTAAGGGGATGTGGAGGGGAGGTGGAAGAAGTGGAGACCGGAGAAAAATCAAGAATTGGTTAAGTAAACGGAGTCCCTGAGGCGCTCGGGGGGGGATCCAAGCGATCGTTTCGCGAGTGGCTCTGGAGCAGGGAGAAGCAGCACGTGAGCCCGGGGAAAATTCAGGCGCGAGTTCATCTCTGGGTCATCAGGGATGGGGAGAGAAGCCGAATCAAAGCTGCGGCCTTGCCCCCAGCCACTCTGTACTCCTGAGACGGTGCAAAAGCAAACGGCTCCCACACCTACGCCTGACTGGTTTAGCTCCCACCTGCGCCAGCGACAAGCCTGGTGTCACTACAGCTGAAGGGGATGCGGTCAGCGTCACGGCTCTCCTCGGGGTGCAGCCTTCCGAAACTGCAGCCCACACCATGACACCATGCCCCTTCTCTCTCCCCAAGCTCGCGCCTGCTGCGGGGGGGGACATCTTAAGAGCCACACAATCCCAAGGGCCCTACCTGCTCGTTTCACATCCACGTTAGCCTCAGCGCAGAGGGTCACCTCAGGCAGCAGCGCCATCGCAAGAGATTTCATGCCAGGTAGCAGGGACTCCCCAGGCGCAGGTCCTTCCCTCTCTGGCACAGAATAAGTGAAGAAGTGACAGACACAAAGACACACTCACCACTTCATCAGGAACATGAGCTCCCCGCTGGAATCTGTGGCACCAATGATACGCTCTGGCTCAAATCCTCGGGCAAAACCTCGCGGTTTCTCCGACTGGAAAAAAAAAAAAAAAAAAAAAAAAAAAAAGACAATTTTCCATTTGCAGCATCACCAGGGGGATGCCACAGCCCTGTTTCTGGTCACCAGGACACACTGGTGGCTGTTCAGAAAGGCTCTGCCTATCAGATGCTCGGACTGTAATGACTAAGGCCAGCGAGGAACTGAGAAGACCATTCAGGTGTAAACCCACTGCACAGAGGCGATCTCCTGCCGGGCCCCGGGCAGCACGGCGGAGCACCCTGCTGATGCTCCAAGCAGAGGATCTCATTTCCAAGGCTCTGCTGGTCAAACCCTTGTGCTGGCCAAGATTCAGCAGCTCCAGGGATGAAAACTAGACTGCAGAGCCTTTTACTGTCCCTTTTCCCAAGCAGCCGTGAGCACCCGGAGCAGGAAGCTCTCTGCTCCACCTTGTTCCCCATCTTCAAGGGGCAACAGGCGACTCCTGCCTCCTGTTCCGCTCCTTGTGCGGTTCTTCAGGAGAAGCTGGGGCTCTGTACCCTTTTGATTCAAGAACTGGCCTTTCAATTTAGTGCTAGCACTGGCTCTGGATTCACTAAGAGCCCAGCTTACGCAACAGCTCTCGCCTTCTTCTGAAAGCTACAACTTTTCAAAAGCACTCCAGTTGTGTCTTGCCGAAGTGCAACAGTTTCCCTTCCGTGCAGGAAAACAGTTTGACTGAGGTTTTGGAGTGCGGCTGCTCTAGCTACTAGACACCCTGCCAAACGCAGGGATAGGGAGGTGAGCACAGAAACCCCACCCCGCCTCACCTCCTCCTTCTTCTTCTTTGGTTTGCTCTCCTCCCCTTTATCCTCTGTGTCAGACTCCGCTTTGCGCTTGCTTCCCTCAGACTTCTCACTCTCATGTGCAGTTTTTTGGGATTGAAGGAACTCTGCAATGAGGTCCGGGCAGTCGAGGTTCTCCTCTGGCTCCCATGTGTTATCTTCACTGCAATCAAAGACAACAGCTTAGTTTTACACACGGGCAGCTTGCTGCAGCTTTCCCTGCCAAGAAAAGTCCCGGACACCAGGTCACGCGGAGATGCTGACAGAAGCAGCAGTCTGGATGTGGGTACCCTCGTCCCATGAAACAGGACCCTGCCCTGATCTGGGCAGAGATGCCAGAGGACAGGGCAATTATTTTGCTTCTCAAGAGAGAAACAATTAATTCTATCTGGCTGTTTGTTTCACATCAGGTTTAAGGCTGGCGGGGGTGAAGCCCCACCAGGGCACCGTGCAGCCTGTTTGCAAGACAGAAACGGGACTTTCTCACCCAGGCTGTGCTCTCGTCGCCCTGATTAGAGCTCGAGGCATTTAGCACCATCGTTTTTATCATCACGGCCGCCCTTGGCCTGTTAGCTCCATTTTACAGACAAGGAGAAGCGCAGGGAGACCGAGCCACCTGCCTGGAGGCTTTGGGAGCCAAAGACAGAAGAGATGCTCGCGCCAGAGCAGCCCAGCACCCGCCCCGCCCCAGCAGGCAGGGCAGCACTTACTCCGAGAAGCCTTTCCACTTCAGCAGGTATTCCACTTTGCCCTTTACCACTCGCCGATCCAGGACCTTCTCCACCACATATTCCTCCTCCTCTTCCTCTAAGACCTCTTCCACTTTCTTCTTGTTCTGTTTTTTTCCCATTGTGCTGGCCAGCTTTTCAGCTTATGGGCGACGCTGCTGAAAGAGGAGAGAGAACCACACGTTTGTGTCAAGGTCAGGCTTGCCTTTGTCAGGCAGCAAACATAATGGACATGCAGAGGCAAAACACAGTGCAGGAATGCTGCTCTAGAGAGAACAGGCACATACAAGGTAGGTGACACAGGAAGAGATGGGCCACAATGGTCCTGCCAGCTGAAAAGGCAAACAGCAGCCTCCAGCAGGAGCTGCTGCATTCACACGATTCCTTTTTGACACACAGCTTTGGCCTTTTTGTCTCCTATTTCACTAATTCCATCAAGACCCTGCCTGATTCCATCCATACTTTGTTCCTGTTTTCAGCACACCATGACTCAACCTTGCTGCTCCCATGTGTTGCCCAACAACCTCCAGAAACGAAGCAGTGTCCTGCATCAGCTGCTCCACACTTTGTCCTTCCTCTGCCAAGTCCCACGTGTCCTCACTCAACCTGTTTCCTCCCCTTCCCTCACCTTGCTGACCTGCCCGTCAGCCGAGTTCAACCCGGCCTTGAGCTGCAGAAAGCATTTGCAGAGCTGTACGGCAGCTGATATTAACTAGAAGTTAATAAATAGTTAATCCAAGTTAAATACAAGTCACACCTGACACCGAGCTCCCCATGTTCATCTCTTTGCTGGTTCATACAAGTGCACTCTGCAATATTTGTCTAACTCACCAACCCAGAACATGCTGTGGGTTTTTTTTGTTGTTTTTTTTTTTTTTTTTTTTTTTTGACTTATCTTCCAGACCTGTTTAGTCAATCAAAAAATCCTGCATGTATATCCAGTGCTTGCTGGGAAGTGGCAGAAGCGATGCAGAGCTAGAACTCCCTGGCCCAACACAGCCCACAGCTACCTGCCGTAACCGCCGCAGCACACAGGTACGGCGTGACGGGGTGGCCCTCGGCGCAGCTCTGCTTTCTGCTGACGTGGGGGGGACTACAGAGGAGGCTCAGCCCTGCCAACACACCCAGCGCTTCCCCCAGCCTGAAACGAAACACCTCAGAGAGCCAAAAACCACAGAGAGGCCCTGCTTCCCTGCTGAAACCCAGCTCGGACCAGTATGAGCACCGCAGCCAGGCAGATCCAGGGTCAGAGTCTCTCCTCATTGCTGCCGGGGATGGCCATCCACCCTGTCCTCCATCCCTGCTGTGGGGCAGGCAATTTTGCTAAAACCATCCCTGGTCCTTGCAAACACTCTCCAGCCACTTCTTGGCTGGTACCAGTTACACTGACAGGTCCCAGCACCACCACAGCCAAGATCCTGAGCCACCACAGAGCCCCGAGAGCGGCGGCACCAATGGAGCATCCCCTTGGGTGGGAAGGGTTTTTTCTTTAGGTTCAAGAAAAATATAGAGCCTTCTAGTACCCTGACCTCATCACCAGCCTCTGCTCCAAAGAAGTCCGCGCAGCCAGTTGAGCACGCTGAACAACTTGCACTGATTTAGATCGACCAAAAGGTCAGGAGGTTCCATGTCTCCCCATCCGTTATCTCCGATAAGCAGCTACGCCGTCACGGAGAGCCACAGGCAAAGCTGGCACCAGGACCCAGACTGCCTGAAACCAAGTCTGTACCTCAGCCTCCCAAAACCCCACCCTGCTGAACAGCTGCCCAGGGAGCTTTCACAGCCTAAGCAATGAGGAACAGGACTGCTTTTTTATTCCAGTAAAACACGTATTTTCTGCCAAGCAAAATGACTGGTGAGCGGGTCAAACATTACCTGCCCAGAAACTTTTGTTTTGCCACTCGCGTTATCGTGAATCTTCTAGAATAAATTTCAGCTGGCAAAACCTACGCAAACTGGGGCTGGTTTATAAAGCGAAACAAAAATCCTGCAGATTTATACTGGCTGAAGGAGATGTCAGAGTTCAGCTCTGAGTCTCAGCTCCCGGGGTACAGCTGGATGAGCTCCCTTGTGCACAAAATGCTGCTGAGCTGAGCAGCTGCCATTAAGAGTATCCTTCGAAGGAGAAGGCTTAAAACCAGGCCCCACAAAGCTCAAAAGACAAACCACCATTTCGGACCAGCAGAAGCCACAGCAGAGAGGACGAGAGGGAGCACAGTCAAGTCAGCACGCTCCAGACCACCCCGTCTCTGCCACTATCTCACAGACAAGGCTCAAGGGCACGGAAGAGCACAGAGGGAGAAAGCAGAACTTCTCTGCTTGGCAGGTGCTGGACCAACGCATTTAGGCTTTGCACCCCGCTATTGCACTGCTGCTTTCAACCTGACCTTGGCATACAAGCTGTGCCAGTGCCTGGGCTGTTGCTCCACACGACCATCGGTCTCTGGCCACGCTTGCTGCAGGACAGATATCTTCCCTTTGCACCTCATCCCCCACATGCACTGGCTGCAAGGCGAGCACAGCAGCCTCCTCACTCAGTGCCAATGCTGGGGTAGAAGGAAGAAGGAACATCTTCCCCCCCGACACAGCACCCAGAGCTGGGGCTGCTCGTGAGCCAAGCAGAGGACTGGCTAGTGGCCAAAGTGGCTCCTAGCATCTCGGGATGCTTGGTGGTCACTGAGCAAATTGGGCAGTTCCAGAGCCCAGGTTCTGCATCGCGAGCCTTTTCCTCCTTCTGCTCGCGTTTAGCACTAGACATCTCCCCTGTCTTTCTTTTAACTGGTGGTCTCAGAAGAGGGGTCAGCACCTGAGCAGGCTGCAGCGCAGACAGGGACAAAGGAAGAGCTTGTTCTGCTGCTGCACATGCTGCGCTGCGCTTACAGAGCTCCAGCAGCCGCCAAAGGTGAAAACTAACCCCCCCCTAAGTGTTAAATGAAGTGAGAAGTTCCCTGCCCTGTACTGACCAGCGGCTGAGGTGGTGGTAGGGATATTCCCAGAGAGGCAGTGCTTCCCCCATGGATCCTTTATTCAATGCCAGCGGACACCCTGTTTGATGGGGGCAAAAAACCCCAACCCAACCACCTGGAAACAGCCCACTAAAACAGAGCCATGTAAGAATACACATCAGAGAGGCTTTTCCCTCCTCAACTCCTGAGCTGACAGACACTGACAGCATCTTTAATCAGATGCCAGACAGAGGCAAACCCGAAGCTGTGAGGCTCCCGGTCGCCTGCGGACTCGCGGAGGAGGCGGCCAGGCTGCCTGGCACCGCCTCAGCTGGTGTGCAATACAACAATGTAAAGCCTCCGACCCACCGCCAGCATCTAATCCCCAAGCAGGAGCCAGCGCTGCAGCAGGAAGCCGAGAGATCGTGTTTCACTCTGGAATTCTTCAGGCAGTTCCTTCCTCCTGCGCAGGACAGCCTTCCTCCTCTCCATCCTCCTCCTCCCGCACCACGTGGCTGCCGGAGAAGGGAGCCAAAGCTGAGCACACCACGGCAAAGGAGATCCCCAAGAAGGTGCTGCCACAGCTCCGACTACAACCAGCAAATAATCTCTGAAGCAGCCTGGAGGGGCGAGATCTCAGGCTTCCCCTCGCTCCGCAGGGGCTTCTGGTTCAGCTGCAGCCAAAAGGACTTAAGTCAGAAGCGCTGTGGTTATTGCTTGGAGATGGACTTGGTTTTAAGGTACCTAAGGACGCTCAGCTGGATCACCAGGGCTGCTCAAGCCCTCATAGGAAGGCAACTGGATCAAAGAGTCTCATGGCAGAGTCTGGCCAAGCTGAGCTCAGAGGGGAGATGCTAAAAGTAGAGGTGGCTTGTAGGACAGGTAGGTGTGGAAAGGGAAATAGAGAGAAGCAATTCTATTGCAAGCAATACAACACTGTGGATGCATCATTTTATTGTGGTAAGTGCTGGGCAGAGAAGATGCAAATCCAAGGCCAGGAGCACTTTGAGAAAGAGCTTGCCAAAGGGAGGGACAAATATACCAGTGCAAAGGGCTGCAGCAACCACACCTTAAGCATATGGCAGGCAGCAACCTCTCCAAAGTCCCCAGGCACTTGGGGCCTGTTCCTTTCAGGAGAGGTTTCCCTCTTACTGCTAGAGGTATTTACACCACAGAGCACCAGTGTAACCCCTTTGTACGGACTGGCTCTATCTCTGTGGGTTCTCAAGATGCCTGCTCCCACACAGGCAGGGGGCTGGCACCCGGCTGTCCCCTCAGCACCCGTCCCCACAGCAGGAACAACGGCTGGTTTTGCTTCTGGAGCCTGCAAGCCAGAAAGGTGCTCCGGGCGGATGAGGCCAAGCCGTAGTTCACATCATCTGCTGCTCAACCCGGTACAGAATTTAGCATTCGAGCCAGCAGCACAGAGACAAGCTGCTGCACAGGCCTCTCGCTGCACTGCAGTCAAAAATGCAGCTCGAGCGCGAGAAAAGGACTTCAGCCCCCACCCCCCGGGAGGCTACAAACCCAGCATGTGGCTTTATCTGTGAAGCATCTGAGCTGCTCCCCACACCCTCTTCCTCTGCATCAGAAATGCCTCCGTGGAACAGAGTGCTTGACAAAGATTTCAGCTTTCTGTGACCGGCAACATCAAAACCCTCCAATTTTAGTTATTAAAAACAAACCACAGCCACCCAAAGCACTGGCTGGATTCTAGTCTCTGGAGGAAGAGGGAAAGGTTGAACAATCCCCATCTGCTTGGAAAGGCAGCGCAGGGAAGACTTACCCTATGCTCTGCTCCCCTATCTCCAGAGCTTTCATATAAACACATTTCACACGCACCAAGTTCCTGCGTGCAGAGGTGCAAAGTGAAACCGTTTCATTTTGCCTGGGCATTTTTGGGGAGGGCAGACAACTCATATTACATTTACATGAGCAGTCTCAGATCTATAGAACTAGAGACTAGATGACTCCTGCCTGAGAGAGATCTCGTCAGTAGCGTGTTTCCTAAAATTCAGGTTCAGCTTTCTATACTTAATGTGTGAGAAAAGTTGGCTTATACTGAAAAATATGATTTCAAGACAAATTCAGGATGGGCCTATGCTAAATGTTTCCATTTTCATTTGCTGCTTCTTACTTAACACTCAAGGCAAAGTTGAAATCCTTTGTGAAGAGGAAAGCAGAACAGAGAGAGACCAAAAGAGTAACTTCTTGGTCTGCAGCTAAGAGGAAAAGGATCCAGAACACACCTATGCCACTTGAAAAGAATTCAGAATCCAGTAAAAGGCCATGAAGAAAGAGGCCCAGCAAAAAGGTGTGGACAAAAGTCTGCGTTATTGGGGCAGGACCAGCAGACGGAGGAACAAGAGCTAGCCTCGACAGCACGTCATCGCAGTAGATCGGAGCAAAGCACATTATGAATCATGAGACCTCCTGGAGAACAGCATCCAGGTAGGGAAACCACTACCAGACAAGTGCAAATACACTCAACCCCGCTGGCTGGGACACTTTCTTCGGAAGATCGGGAAGCTCCACCTAATACCCTTCCGTGATGCCTGGTGCTAATCTTTTTAGGAGAAAGTTTAACAAAGGAAAGGAAGACCAGCCTAAGAACAAAAATGTGGAGATCCAGAGGTTTCATTTGAGTACAGACTAGTTCCATTAGCTACACCTTAAAGGATTAACAGTTCAGCTCAGCTTTAATGAGTTTTAAACTTAAAACATTTCCTCCTCCTGCCTTTCTCAAACTTGGCTGGGATCACTCATCTCTTTAAAGACTCGTAAGCACGCCAAGTTTATTCCACACGCGCCAGGGAAAGGCAGCAGGCTTCTTTCTTTTGAAGTGGGAACAAGCATGTTAAGTCTTCCACTCTCCAGAACCTGAAAACAGCAGAAAACATTTCTGGAAAGTTTGAGTGAAAGCTCAAGCCTTTGAGCAGAGACCAAACTAAAGAAAAGCCACAACCTTCAAGTCCAGCCACATCATTTCCAGTTAAATTCACAATCCATGAGAGAATGCACCTCTGGATTTAAGAGAAACACACATGCAACAGTAGGAACGTTACCTCCCTGCTAAAAAAGAGGACCTGAGGTAAGAAATCCAGTCATGCAGATAGGAACTATGTTGTGTGACGGCAAACACAACTTTTGAACTCCTCTAGATCAGATAAACACTCATGCAATCAGAGCAGGGATTTGTGTTCTTTTTCTCTCTTTTATATAAAGGCAAGAAAACATCGCCCCAAGTGCTGCAGTTTTCCAGTGTCCCTGAAACTGCATCACCTCCTTCTCCAAGAGCAACCCTGGCCCTGTAACACCTTCCCCTGCTGCCCTTCATCCCTGGGGACAGAGGGACCGCATCTGAGGGCACTTCCTCCAGCAGCCCCATGCCCAGGAACTGTCTGCCAGCGCTCACAGGCCCCTCACCTGATTATTTTTGCATTTCACTTGTGTTGGGCAGCGGCCTTAGAGCAGCCACATCTGTTTCTCATCGTTTTCACTACCAAGATCTCAAGCACCAATAGGAAACTGCGCCTGGGTCACAAATGCAATGGGGACTCCAAACATATCTGTCGCAAAGACCTTCCTCTCTCAAATGCACAAAGGATTTTTTTTTTTTTTTAATTAATAAAATCTCTCACCAATAGAACCCATAATTATTCAGCCAGAAAGCCCTTTCATACTTTGATCTCTCAGTTTTATAGGAACATAGGTGTTTGCTGCTTCCAAACTGATCAACGCCAAGAGCACTGCCCCATTTCTGGGATCCTCACGCTCAGCCCCAACCCCATCCCCACTGCTCGCCACCCAAACTCAGGCCACTCTTTCAGTCCCTGCCATCAACTCCACGCCACACCAGAGCAGCTCAGCTCACAGCACAACCCTGAGCCAAACCCCACCACTGCACTCTCGTGCAGCCCCACAACTGCTGCTTCCTCGGCAAAACCTTGCCGCCTCCTTGTCCGGAGACACAAATCCCATTTTGGCTCCATCATCTTTCCTTTCCAGAAGTCTTACTCTTCCCCCACATGATTTTACAACTCCCATTCCAAGTGCAGCTTGACTCTCCCAAACCTCCTCCCCCAGCAAAACAGCCAGAGGAAGCCAGCCCTGCAGGGGAGCTGCCCCGACACCCACCCCTTGTTCTGGGTGAGAGAAGGGACCCGACCCAAACACAGCTCCTTCTCCATCTCCAGCACATCCCTGCTTCCAGCCTGCCAGCCACAACCTCCCTTTCCCCATCTTTTGCCAGCCCCACACCGAGGTCTCTGCAAGGGATCTCCCCCCAGCCCCACATCCCCCCAGTTTGCTCCCCAGCAGCTCTCCTCCCCCCAGCTCCCTGGGATGGGCTGCCGTCCCACTCCCTGCTCTCCCGCAGCCTGTGGAGCTGCTTCCCGCTCATTCTCCCCGCCAAAAGTTGACACTTATCCCCTCCCCGCTCTCAGAGCAGCCGGAGCCTGAATCCCCCTCCTTCCTCAGCCTCCCCCTTTCCCTGAAGCTCTCCCCCCCAAAAATCCCCCTCCTTCCTCATCCTCCCCCCTTTCCCTGACGCTCTCCCCCCCTGAAATCCCCCTCTCAGCACCCCCCCTCTTTCCCCAAAGCCCTCCACCCAGAAATCCCCCTCCTGCCTCAGCCTTCCTCCTTTCCCTGAAGTTCTCCCCTGAGAAATCCCCCTCCTTCCTCAGCCTCCCCCCTTTCCCTGAAGCTCTCCCCCCCAGAAAACACCTCCCGCCCCTTCTTCTCATCCCAGGGGCTCCACCAGTGGCCTTTTAAAGCACCATCCCACCCAAATGCCATCTCCCCCCCGCCCAGAGCAGGGTCCCCGCTCCAGTCTCTCCCCTCCCAATGGGCACTCCCACCCCGCAGCCCCCAAAACCCAGTTCCCCGCCATCTCCCCGGACCCTTGTTCTCTCCACACGCACCAGCCCCCTCCCAGCCCCCAGGACACATCTTTTCCCTCTGTCCCAAGGCACCCTCGCACCTTTCCCTCCAGCCTCCTCCCCAGCCCTCGGAGCCTCTCTCAGCTCCTCAAAGGACCGCCCGGGCCTAGCCCCTCCTCACTCCGAGACTCTCCTTCCCCCCCCCCCCCGCCACGAGGCCCCTTTAAGAGGCACGGCCCTGCCCGCACACCCCCCTCTCCCAACACCCCCCCCCCCCTTCGACTAACACCCCCCCCTCTCCTCGCACCCCCCAGACACCTCCCCTCCATTAACCCCCCTCTCCCAACACCCCCAAACACCCCCTTCCACGAACACGCCCCACCCCAGCACCCCAAAAAACCCCCCCCCCGCCTCCCCAACCCCTCCCGACCCCCCAGCATCCCGCAACCACCGCCTCATCACCCTAAACACCATCTCCCGCAGCAACGCGCCCCCATCCCACCCAGTAACGCCCAGTTTCTCCTCAACATCCCTCCCTCCAATGCCTCCCGCCCCCCCCCCCCCCCCCCCCCCCCCCACCCCGCCGCGCCCCCTCCCTCCTCGGCCCGCCCGCGGCCCACACTCACCTTGCACAGCCCCGCCAACGGTTCCCAAGGGGAAGGGGCCTGCGGGGAGCGGGGGCGGGCGGGCAGGGCGGGTCGGGTGGCGCCGGGGCCTGGCCGCGCTCTGTCCGCCTCCCTCGAACAAAAGAGCCCAGCCAGCCCCAGTACCCGCCGCGCCGCACTGCGCCTGCGCCGCGACCCGCACCCGCCCGCCGCGCCGCGGGGGCGCCCTGGGAGTCGTAGTCCCCGCGCCGCGGGGGGACACTGGGAGCTGTAGTCCGCCACCCGCCCGCGGCCGGCACGGTCTCTCCGACGAGGCCTAAGCCGGGGGGGGGGGGAGGGGAAATCGCACCGCGGCCGTGGCCGGGCCCCGCGGGGAGGCCGCCTGCAGTGGAAGGGTCCAGGCCGCGCACCGTCGCCAGAGGGAAGTATGGACTACAACTCCCAGCATGCCCCGCGCCGGAAGGGGCAGCCCCCCCCCCTCCGCACCACCGCCTTTGCTATAAGGCCGCTGCGCCGCCGCGCCGCTTAAAGGGGCCGCGGCCTAGGAGAGGAGGTGAGGGGGCCCTAAGGGGGGCGGTGGGGGGGCTGCTCGGTGCGAGGCCCCGGTGTCGGCGGGGCTGGGGAGCCCCGGGGCGGGGAGCCCCTGACGGGAGAGCCGCTTGGCCGGGCCGGGCCTCACGCCGTGCCGCGGCTGCTGCCGGCGGTGAGCAGCCCGGCCGCCGTGCCGGAGCGGGGCCCGGGCTCAGGCCGCTGCTCAGCTCGGCGAGTTGAGACCCTTAGTGCGGTCAAGTGTCCGGCCCTCGGGTCGACGTGCTGCGGCGTTGGGCTGGGCTGGGGACACCCCCTGCCCAGTGGGGGTCCCGATCCGGGGCATCTGCCTGGATGGGGGGACCCCCTTCTTTCCCCAACGGGAAAAAAAACCTCAGAAAACCCGCCCGGGTACCAGTCGGGGACAGCTCTTCCCAAGCCTGGCAAGTAAAAGCAGAAACAAGCGGGAGTTGTTCCCTCTATTTTTTCCTGCTGTGGAGCTCCTCTGCGAGGTTTTCCTCAAAACTGGAGACTCTTGCGTGGCTGGAGCGGGTGGACGTGAAGCCTCGGCCAGCCTGGAGCTGGGCAGGGAGCGGGGCTGCGGGAGGGAGCTCTGAATTTGTCTCAACTATCTTTGGTGTGTGCTGGTTAGGAAAGAGTATTTACTGTCGGCCCTGCTGTTATAGAGGGGTAGAGGCTGTTGTTAAGGGTGTGTCAGAGTCAGCAAGGAAGATAAAAGACTGCAAGTAAGAGATAAAGACTAACACTTTCTCCTTCAGCAGTGTGAGTAGAGGGCTGGGGAAGGCAATCCGCCTGGAGTCAGACTGTGTCTGTGGCTCGTTAAACACCCAGACTGCTGTATCCTAGGCAGGAGAAAGTCGTGAGGCTCCAGGAGTGTGGATGTGGGGTGTTCCTGTGTGGCTTCCACCGCTCACGTCCTCCTAGCTAGAAGAGGTTCGAAGTGTGAGCCCTGGAAATGCTGAAATGCAAACTGGAGGAAGATTAAACCAAACCCAAACCACATATCCCAGGGCCCCTTACACTGAGGCGTTAAGCAAAAGCCCTGAAAGAGGATTTGGTGAAACCGTTTAAAGCTAACTCGGAGCTGCCTTCTCCATTGCGTTTAAGTTGATTTATCAAGTTAAGATCAGTTAACTCCAAATGAAGGATAAATAATATTATGCGTTTCTTGCTACATCTCTGGATGAATGTAGAGGTAAAAGACGTGAGCGCTCGGACACCCTGATCTCAGTTTTCCCTGCAGCCTCTCCGCCTCCTCGCTGACTGCAGAGAGCCATCTCCCCCCCGGGGTCTCTCTGCTCTTCAGAGCACCCTTTCAGTAGCTGGGAAATTAAATTCTTCTTCCTGGCAACCCTCTGCTGTTCCATTAGGCAATTTGTGAGTCTCTCTCTTCTCCCTCCTGCATTTTTAATCTAGGCAGGGCTGTTATGCAGAGCAAGAAGCTTTAAAAGCAACAGGACGGCAGCAGCATCCCCTGGGGAGGCCAGGGAACGTAATGGTCAAGTTCTACTGCTGAACTGGTTCTGGCTGGGAGCCCCCAGCATGGGGGGAGGATCGGAGCTCCCCCATTACTGTGCTGAGCAAAGTGACTTATGTCACATTTGGCTCCTTTGCTCCTCTCCTTCCCCAGGGGAAGAATCATGTGTGCTGAAGCATGGGTTGTTTTTTTTTTTTTCTGTAGGTTCCCCTCGCCCTCCCCCTTACAGCTCAATTTGGAAACAGCAGCAGCCTGACCCAACTCCAGCAAGAGTTCAGTTACTTGGAGACATCTTGGAGTGGGCCTGGGTCTCTTGCTGTCTATTCCAAAACTATTCTCCGCTGTTATTAACACTTTCTGTGCTCTCTGGGTGGAATCGGATGGCTGAAGTCTTGCAGAAAGTACCTGCAAACTGGTGGAGCCAGATTTTTAAAGCGTGGTTTGTGGCTCAGCCCCTCCCCTTGTCCCAGCTAAAATTAGCTCTGTCTTCAGAAGAGCTTTGCTTCACATCGGAGCCTATAAATAAAGGCTGGGTTTCCAGCGCTGCCTGACACTTGGCAGCTCTCATGGCCTAAAAGGCAAGACTCCAGGAATGGGGAACAGGTGAAGGGTTGCTTTGCCTCTGCCATCAGGCAGCCCTGTCCCTCGGGAGCCTGGGCTGTGACAAGCAAAGTCCTGCGCTGCCAGTTCATCCCAGGGGCTCCAAAACCTCCTGCAAACAATCCCGCAGAGGAGGTGAAACGAGGACGTGGGATGCACTTGGTCTTCCAGCTCCCCCTGATGAATATTCCTGGTCTGTGTGTGCACAGCTTCTCTTGGAGGGGGGGTGAAACTCTGCCCCAGAGGAGTTTCACTGTCTGGACTGTGCATTTATTGGGTGTGGGGAGGGTTAGCTTGCTGTCCCTTTCCCCCCAAGTCCTGGCACTGTGTCTGTGGTGGTGTTGCAGGACAGGAATTGCTGCAGGAGCACGTAATGGAGGAGAAAATTAGCTGACACGGTCCAGCAGGACCTGGGAGTGCCGGAGGGATGTGGCTGAGGAAGCGGCTGGTGTGATGGGAGCGTGTGAGCAGGGCACCGAGCACCTCTGCAGCCCCTGGGAGAAGGGGAAGGGGGGTTTAGGGACGGGTGTAAGGGAGAAGGATTGCAGTGAAGACACAAAACCTAGTCTGGTGGGGAAATCTGGTTCCAAGTTTGCTGCTTATTCGGGTGACTCGTGAAAGAGATGGAAAGGAACAGCAGATCCATGTCTGGTGCTAATGGGAGACTTACCGAGGTGGCAGCTGGGGAATGGGTCTGGATCTATGCAGGAGAAAAGCAGGTTTCCTCTGGCAAGGGGCAGCAAGGTCCTGGTGTGGGCTGGCTGCTCCCCCTGCTCGGAACTCGCGCTGGGCAGGCAGCGAGGGGAGAGAGGCCTGTAGGAGAAGGAAACAGATAAAAACAGGATTTTCTCCTCCCCAGCTGAACCGGCTCCCCTGGCATTTCAGTGCAAACCTGCCCATGCGGGGGAGTGGGCCGGGCTCTTCCACCCCGTCTCCCTCCCGCATTGCCAGTTCTGGCTCTGCAGGAGCAAACTGGGGACCCCAGCTAACAGGAGGCCGTTCCTGGCTAACGGGAGTTACACTGGGGGAGAAGCTCTCCCGGAGCTGCATCTGGCTCTCCCAGAAACCCCGTTATCTGCCCGGGAGCAGGGACGTGCTGTGGGAGAGGAGGGCAGGCAGCTCAGCCGGAGCAGCCGGTTGCCCCATCCCGTCCTCGGGTGGTTACAACCTGTCTGAGCTGGGAGCCCGGCTCACCTCTGCAAGCCGGGGATTTTTGAGTGCTGTTCCGGAAGGCTGCAGGATCCCAGCGCCTCTCTGCGGGCAGGGGTGACCTGAAGATGAGCCGTGGAGGAGAGAGGTGCTGCAGGCTCCGGCTCTGGTCATGGCACACGCTCCAGCATTCCTCAGTGAGAGCCCAGCAGGCCACATTGCCCCAGGAGCATGCCAGAGATTAATGCTGGATGCTTTCTCCCCTGTGGGCTGCTGGATTTGACTGCATCCTCTTTGTGGTGACTGAGGGGAGAGGATCAGGGAGGGCAGCTGAGTGCAGACGTGGGGGCTGGGGAGTTGCCCGCTGGATGGGACAGAGGTGTGAGGTGCCTGGGGGGATGCAGACTACACTGCAAGACCCCAGTTGTCTTGATTGCTGATCTTGTCTTACTAAATCCTTTTTTCCTCCATACAGATGTTTCCCGCTGGGCTCTGGCTCTAGGATGTTGGAGAGCCGAGAGGAAGTAAGACCCTTTCTGACATGGGTTTTGTCTGCTCCTGGCTGGGGTTTGGCAGCGCTGGCGCCGGGTGGTCTTGGCTGAGTGCTGTGGGGGGGTGGGGGGGGTGGGTGGAGTGGTGGTGAGAGGTGCTGAACGCTGGGCAGGATCCGTGGGGCAGAGCTGGGGGGCGGCTGGTGACAGGGATGGGGAAGGCTGGGGAGGGGTCTGTGCTGGGACAGGGTGGTCATGGGTCACCCGTCCCTGGGAGCCCCCCTGAGCCCTGCGAAGGGGGTGACGCTGGCGTGGGGCGGTGAGCTCAGGCAGTGTTTGTGCTGCAGGAGCTGACCACGGTGCGTGTTCAGGACCCCCGGGTGCAGAACGAAGGCTCCTGGAATTCCTATGTGGATTATAAAATCTTCCTCCACGTGAGTTGTGGCTGAGGGAGAGGGGTGGGCTGCAGAGCGCGGCCGTGCTGTACACGAGGCTCACGAGTGGAGTTGTCCGGCCACGTCTGGCTGTGCTGAGTGGGGATGGAAGGAGCCGTGAAGGGGGAACCCTCAGCAGCCCATCCCTCCTAATGCGCTCTCTCCATGCGGGTCTGAGACCCAGCTTCTCCTGTGGAGCCTGCTCAAGTTTTCTAGGCACTTCCAGCTCCCCAAAACCCAGTGCTTTGAGGGGATCCCTTAGTCACTGAGCCTGGGGGTCTGTGCAGGCGAGATCCTGCCCTCCTCTGCCTTGCTGCTCCTCAATCACCTGGATTATTTCCATGGTGTTGTTTTTTTTTTTTTTTGTGTGTTTGGTTTTTTTTTTTTTTTCAGACCAACAGCAAAGCCTTTACTGCTAAGACCTCATGCGTGCGGCGCCGGTACCGTGAATTCGTGTGGCTGAGGAGACAGCTCCAGAAGAATGCTGGCTTGGTGTAAGCACGCCTTGTTCTCCCTCCTTTCCCCTTCCTTCATCCAGCTGCTGTTTCCCATTGCCGTGGGAGAACCCATGTGAACTCAGAACAGATGTGGATAGAAACCCCAGACACGAACGCAGGATACCTGAGCTCCTGGGATCCAGCTCTGCACAAAGCAGGGTCCTGGCTGCTGCTGCCGCGGTGCCCCTGTGTCTCCTTGTTCTGGTGCTGGGGTGATCTGATGCTGAATTGCTGCCTCTCTGCCTGCAGGCCCGTCCCAGAGCTGCCCGGGAAATCCACCTTCTTCGTGGGCAGCACGGATGAGTTCATCGAGAAGCGGAGACAGGGGCTGCAGCAGTTCCTGGAGAAGTGAGTAAAGCATTTGCGAGGGCTGGCTGGAGGGAGGGGACGGGCTGCTCCAGTCTTGCTTAGGAGATGCCGGCTCTGAGGCGGCAGCAGAGCTGGCAGTGGTCACCCTGGCGATGTGGGCCACGGCTCAGCGTGCTCCTGGGCGCCTGCCTCACCCTCCTCCCTCTGTGCGCAGGGTTGTGCAGAACGTGGTCCTCCTCTCCGACAGCCGGCTGCACCTTTTCCTGCAGAGCCAGCTCTCGGTACCCGAGATAGAAGCGTGCGTGCAAGGCCAGGGCTCGCAGACGGTGACAGAAGCCATCCTGCACTATGCCATGTCCAACTGCGGCTGGGCGCAGGAGGAAGAGAGCCGCCCCGCGCTGCTGCCGGGAGGGGACCTGCACGGCAGGTAACGCGGGCAGGGAAGGACTGTCCCGGGGGTGCCACCAGTGGGGCGACCCCCCAGCTCCCTTTGCTGTGCCTGGAGCTGCTCTGTGCTGGCCGGAGGGGAGGCCTGGCTACCGAGGCAGCTGGTGACTTGCTGTCTGCACCTCCCCTTGCCAGTGCTTGCGGCTGGGGGTCTGGCTACAGCCTGATGTGAAACCGTTGGTGCCTGTGCAAGGGGCTCTCACCCGCAGCAAACAACTTCTGCTCTGAAAAAAGAGGAGCTGCCAGGCTTTCTAGAGACCCCTGTATTTTTCTGAATTTCCCCGTGCCATCCTTGCTGCTGTCTCTTGAGAGAATGAAGTTGAGCACGGGTTTCCCTGCCCTGTGCACCGAATGGGCAGAATTCCTGGGGGTCAGGCGATGGGAGCTGGACATCTTGGGCTGTCACCAGCACTCTCCTGTAATGTCCTCCAGGCTGCCCGGGAGGGTGACCTGTCCTGGCTGCGGCCAAAGCTTAGCAGAAAAGAGTTTGAGTCTCTCAGAAGAACTTAAGCTGAGATTTACAGAGGCTGCTTTCCTCCCTTTAATCTCTGGGGAGAGAGGAGCCTCTGGAGGCTTTCGAAGCTCAGGCTTTCCGAGTGTCCCGCCTTCGTCCTTGCAGCGCGAGTGTGCTCTGCGATTCCTCATGCCCATCGGAGCTTCAGCGTGCTTGCTGCATACTGGGGAATTTATCAGGCCTCTCCCCATGGGGTGGCTGCCCCCCCTGCCCTACAGCCAGTCGAGGGTTTTTTTTTTTTTTTTTTGCACCTGGGGAGGCAGCTGACCTGGTGGGGGAGGAGGGCATCCTCAAGTCTGCCACCGCTGCAGCTCCCTGCAAGAAGCTGAACAAGCACAGACATCACCTGCGTGTTTGAGTCCTGCGGCAGGCGCTGGGTCCCTGCCTGCGCTCGCTGGCAGCCTGGTGTGCCTGCCAGAGGTGCTCTGCATCCCCCCTGCCCCTCAAATATGAGGTATTTACCTGCTGAGAGGCCGCGTCTGGCTTTCTGCACCACCCAGTGCCCACATTTCTTCATCTTGGTTTTCAAATAGCAGGAAGAAAGAGGTGTCTGGACTCCAGCAAGAGACCTGTTTTTAAATAGAGCCCTCCTGGTTTAAGGAGGGGGTTTGAGGGAGCGCAGCAGCCGAGGCTAAGGGGGTAGGTACCCAGGCAGCGTGGCTTCATGCGTCCCTCTCGGCTCCCGGCACCGTCTGCCTCTCGCTGGTGGCAGTCCTCCCCCCCCCTCTTGCTTTCCTGCTCTGAGCTTGCGTGCCGGGGTGAGCGGCTGCTCCTGTGGCTGAGCTGGCTGGAAGCAGAGGGCTGAGCTGGGGCTGTGCGGAGGGGGAGCAGCCTCTGCTGCGCAGAAGGGGTCGTGCCAAGGAGGCAGCGGTTGAGGTGAAGATGCGCAGGCCCCCCCGCGTCTTCCCCCCGGATTTCTCCTCCGCTCTGATCTGTTCTCTCTCTTTCCAGCTGTGCCGGGCTGGGAAGCCTGCAGGGTCCGAGCTGCCTCGAGACCTTCCCGTACTGGAGTGACTTCGGCATGGATGACGCCCACTCGGACAGTCCAGATGAGCCAGCTGAGCCCTTGGCCAGTCGGCGTGAGGTGCAGTAAACGCCTCTAGCGACCTCGCCTGCCGTCCCTGGGCCCTGCAGCCCTCGCTGGAAGAGGGACCGCTGCTGACCCAGAGGGATATCCAGGCTGGTGGGACTGGGCCTGCACTGGGGACACGGCCTTGTCCTGGGCTCTGTCGTGTCCGGGGCTCACATGCTCTCTCCCTGCTGACTCTCGACTGTCCTTGATGTCCCAGGCAGTGTGTTCGTATCGCTCTTCTCTTTGGAGGAGAGATCTAGTGGTTAGTGAAACCTGTGTTTGTTCTTCCCATGGCCTTTGCTCTCTGACTGGAGCAGTAGCAGGGCTTAGTTAGGTGGCAGTGCCAGCGAGGCTCCGTGTCCCTGGCCCGGGGCAGGGTGAGATACGCTGGCTCACATCCAGCACGACGGAGGAAGGCTTTCCTTGGTGGGACCTCGGGCTGGGAGCAGGGGCTGCCCACTGCCCAGCGGGTCTCTTTAGTCCCCCCTGTGTTCCCCTGGCTGTGCTGCAGGCAGGGGAGGCTGTATTTCCCTTGAGATGGCCGTGCTGTGCAGCTCCTGAGGAGGGTGGTCTCTGCTGCAACGGAGCCAGAGCCCACACGTGGGGCTTCCTGGCACAGCTCGCCCCGCAGGTTGCCCGCAGCTGGGGCAAACAGGGATGAAATTCCACCTGCCCCCCCCCACCCTTCCCCAGGAGCATGGAGCAGGGGAATGAGTTGGTGGGGAGGTAGAGGGGGGGTCAGTTTGTCTCCCCTGCCCTTTGGAGGGGATGCTCATTCCTCACACACCGCTTGCCACGCACAGAGAGGGGGGGTCCTCACAGCCAGAATCTAGTTTGCTTGGAAAGGAGCATGTAGCTGTCTCAGAGTCAGTGTCCAGCAGCGCTCGGGCTCTGGCTACTCTTGATGCCTCTCCCTGTGCTCTCCTGCACCTTTTCCTCCCACCCTCTGCACTGGTGAAAGGCAGAGCCGACGTGCTCTGACTGGAATTAAAAATGAAGTAGAAGAGCCTTACTGGTTGCTGGCAATGTCTGTCCTCACTGCGTGGGCAGAAGGAGCGGAGCTGAGGCTGAGCTAATTGTGGATAGATGGCTTTAGGGAAAAGAGGGGGGGTCACTGCACCTCTCCATGGGGCTGGAGCTGCCGAAACCGTTGGGGCTGACCCCGCCTTGGGCAGCAGCGGCGTTCCAGGGTGGTGGCAGGGGACAGGCAGGGCTTGAGGGGTCCCACCTTGGCCCTCAAGTAGAGTTTTGTGGTGCTGAGCCCCCAGCAGTGTGTGTGTGGGGGGGTGTTGACCCCACACAGTGGCCAGGACGCACCGGAGAGGGGGGTGGGAGGGTTGGAAACCCGTTGAGGCGCATCCGAAATGTCAGGAGAAGTTCATTGCGAAGGCTGGCAGCTGCTGGCACGCCGGAGCGCTGCTGCCATTGGCTGCCCCCCCCCCTCATGCATATTCATGGATATTCATGAGTGTGTGGCTCCAAATGGCGCAGCTGTGAGGCCAGCTGTGCCCACGGCCCCGCTCCTGCGCCCACGCGTGCCCTTGCCCGGTGCACGGCCAGCCTCACGCAGGCAACGCGGCCGGGGCCGTATCCTGCCCCCGGCTCCCTGCGGACCCCCAGCACCATTTGCACCCCCAGCTTGGCCTGGCACTGCTGCATCCTTCGCTTGACGCCTTGCCAGGAGCCAGCCAGCCCCGGGGCTCTTCCCTCGGAAGGTGGATTTGGAAAGGGCAGCCCGTGAGGCTGCTGGGGCGAGGGCTCCATCCCCTCTCCTGCCTCCGCGCATCCCGCGGTGCCCATCCTTCCCCCCTCAGGCCTGCTGCTGGCTGCGGTTCAGAGCCAGGCGGAAATTATTTTTAGTGGTGTTGATCAGCTTTGCAAAGCTGTCGGGAAAACAGTGACTCAGAGGCAGAGCTGGCTGGGGAGGGGGGGGGGGGGGGCGTGTAAAGCAGCCCTGAGCTGAGCATCGGTGCCCACACCCCCCCCCCCCCCCAGGACTGCAGAGAGCAGTGGGGGGGCCCGCCTGGGTGGCCCCGTGCAGAGCTGCAGGGGCTGGGGGTGATGGTCCCTCCCCGGAGCTGCACCCCGGTCACCTCTGTGGGGTTGGTGGCCCGCAGAGCCACTCAAAGTAACCTTCCCCCCCCACCCTGGAGCAGGCGAGGATGGCTCACCCCCCCCCCCTCCCGTGCCCTCCCAGCCTGGCACGTCTCTCTCCTCCCCACCGCCTGCCAGAAAAACAGCCTCGCTGCTTGGAAGTGGGCCAGGCACTCCAGACAACGCAGCCTCACCCCCTTCCCAGGAAAGCTGTCTCTCAAGTCTGTGCAAACAAACCGCCGTGCTTCCTCACTCCCCCCCACACCCCACCAACACCCCAACACAGCGCAGCGTGCCCGGGGGGGGGCCCCCTGCTCTGAGCTGGGGCTGGAGCAGCTCGTGTTTGGCCAAAGCATCCTGCTCCCATCTCCCCGTGCACTGACTCCCCAGCCCCTCCTCAAGCAGAGCGTGAAGGTCTCAGCCCAGGCAGCCCCAGGATCTGGGGCAGGATGAGGCCCCAGAGGGGTAACGGGGTGCTGGGCTAACCCAAACCCTGTTTTTTTTTTTGCACCAGAGCATCCACCTAGGCAAGAGCATCGGTTCCTCCCTGCTGGGATCCCCAAAAGCTCCCAGCAATGATGCTGGAGAGATGGACGCTGGCCTTGCAGCTGCCCCCAAAATGAACCGGTCCCTCGCAAGATGCTCACGGACGGGGAAATGGAGATGGGAGGGCTGAGCGTCGCGCCGAGGGGCAGAGCGGAGGGAGCGTTTCTCCGGGTGCACAGATCCCTGGAGCGGGGCTCCCCCGCTGCTCCAGGATCACCCACCCTGTGGAGATCCAGGGCTGGAAGAACCGGTCGGGAACACCGGAGGGATTTGAGCCAAGCTTACGCCCTGCCAAGCTGAGCTCTGGGCATCCCAAACCCATCTGCCACACCAAAGACGTGCCCGGCAGGGAGGTGCATTCACCGGTGTGAGTGAGGCTGTGTGAGGGGACCTGGTGCCTGGATGGGTTTGGCTGTGTCCCTGCACACCTTTGGGGTCCCCCGGGGTCCCCCCGGCTTGTGCCTGGCTTGCAAACATCTGCACAGCTGTGTTTCGGAGCGGCCGTTGGGCCGATGCCTGGGCTCACCCTTGGGGTGATGCTCCTGCCCCAGCCGCTGCCGGCCAAGGGCTGGTGGGTGCCGGGGGGCTGCCCCGGCGCTGCCCAGGGGATTTGGGCACCCTCCCCAGGAAGGCTGCGGTCAGCAGGTACTTACCACCATCTAGTGGCCCTTCAGCCAAGTGCGGGAGGAGGAGGAGGAGGAGGAGGAGGAGGAGGACGTGCTGGGTTCATCATCAGTCATGGCCTGGGCTGGGTCTGGACCAGAGAGCTCTGGGGATGCTCAGAGCTGGGGCTGGCGGTGAGGGGTCACTGCCCACACCCAGCTCCTGCTCCAGACCCGCAACAAAGTCTGGAGCAGCCAAACGTGGAGAGGAAAATGGCTTTATTGCGGGCTGCCAGCCCCCCGGTGGCACCGCAGCGGGTACCACCGGGCAGAGCAGGGCTCCGGGGCACCGCGCGTGGGCTGGGTGATGGGACGTGGGTCTCTTGGTGTAACGGGCGCCCATAGCAGGGGGGAGGCTGGAGGTGGGGACGGTGTCACCGGTATCTCAGCATGGTCAGGGGGAGAGAAGTACCTGGATTCGGGGAGGGGGAGAGACATGGGTGACGGTGGGGAAAGGGACACCGAGACACGGTCTGGGACTGACCCAGCATCACACGTCGGTGACTCGTGGGCACAGAGGGGATAACGAGGGTGGGAGGTCTCCGGGTGAACGTGGAGGTCTCGCTGTCGCAGGCAGGAATCAGGACCCTGCCTCTAGCCCAGCTACAGACCCCCTCTGCTTTCCCAGCCCTGACCTGTGCGCCTCAGTTTCCCCATCTGCCAAACGCCTCCATAACGGGTTTTGTTTGGGAGAAAACCACTGCATGCGCAGCGCTCGGTGTCAGCGTTGGCGTTACAGCCGGTGACACCCAGCTCGCTGGGTCCCGTGGTTTTACCACATTTCACCCACAAAGGTCTTGAAAGCCAGGGAGGGACACTGGGCAGGGTGGCATTGTCCCTGAACTGCAACTGTGGTTCCCAGTCTCGCCTGCTCCCACGTTAAAAAAAACAGAGACCAGGAGATGGAGCCAAAGACAGTCCTCAAGGCTCAGCACCCCAGAGACACTGGGGCACCCCAGGAATGGAGCCGCCTCCCCAGCACCCGCTTCCACGCCCCGTCCCCAGCGGGTGCCACCTCTCACCTGGGGCGCCACGGTCCTCATCACCCCTCCAGGTTGTAGGCAGCCACCAGGTAATCCTTCGGGACGATCCCGACCACGTTGTTGAGCTCTCCGACCCACCAGCCGTACACGTTGTACTCCTGGGAACACCCAGCCGGAGGGACGCGGGTTTAGTGCCGGGGCAGGGGATGTGGCTCGGGTCCCCTCCTTCAGCACCTGGATCTACAGAAAGCAGCCCCCAGCTTCCCACCAGAAAATACCCCACTCCCAATTCTCCCCCTGGTAAATCCTTCATTGTCCTTCCTAACCCCCCTCTTTCGTCCTGCCCCGCTCTCCCCCTTCGCTCTGGGTCCTGCGGGGCACGGCTTGGGGCTTGCTTGGAAACCCAGCACTTAATTCACACCCTGACATTTCGGGGTATTTTAGTTTAGACGTCAATCCCAGGTCCCAGCCTGGAGCTCTGTGAAGCCCCTCCAGGTAGATCGTGCCTGGGAAACATGTTCCCTCCCCAGACGTACGTGTGATTTTCCCCTGACAGCAGACACGGAAGGCAAATAACAACAGAGAAAACCTCCCCCCCCCCCACGCGTGTGAGAGGAGGAGTTCGCACACACCGGCTTAAGTTTGCCGTCAAAATAGGAGATTTGAGGTTTTTTTTTAAAGGTGACATTAAAAGTGAGGTGCACAGTAGCATGTCCCATCCTGTGGCCCACACGAGCTCTGACCCTCCCACACCCACCCAGCTGGGGCGTTTATCGGGTCCCCCAGCTCATCCCGGTTTCCCGAGAGGGAAAGGGCTTTGATCAGGAGAGGGGCTGAGGCACCAGAGACAGACTTTGCTCCCGCCACTTCCAGCTCTGCTGATGGTTCCACCTTCGCCAGAGCTGGGAAAGGGCCCCAGGAGTCCCGACATTCCCGGGTTGGGATCCTGATGGTCCCCGGGGGACTCACACCCCAGCAAAGAAGCACCGAGTCGAACCCCCGCGATGCTGCTGGGAAGGAAGGAGCGGGGAGGGATGGGGGCTACATCCCCCTGCCCCGCTGTCCTCACCGGCCAGGGAGGAAAAATCCTGCTGAAAACCAGAAGGAAAAAATTTGGGTCTGTTTGCTGTAGCCTGGAGACCCGTGGGCAGAGGGGCCGAGATGCACCCCAGGCTTGACAGGGAGCCCCCAGCCTCCTCTCGCCCCCCCCCTGCTCTGCCATAGCCCGAACACTATGAGGTATTTTAAAATAATTTCTGCTTTGATGAATTGCCGGGTAGTCCGCGATTGCTCATAATCAAAGGGAGGAAAATGCAAATGAGAGCCAGCCGAGAACTTGCGGCACCGAGCGTTTATTTCACTGCGCAGTGCCAAAAAGAATTAAAACAACATTAAACTCCCAGCAATAATGTTTAAGTCCTCGTTTCCAAGTGCCAAATTGCACCACTCTGGATCATACAGATGTTCGTTAATTATGCTAATTTTTATTAAACTATTAAAACGAGGAGTGCACTGGCACAGCAAGGCAGAGCCCAGTGCAGGGTGAACTCTGCTCTCGTCTGGAGGTGCTAATTTACATCTCGCTAACGTGCTGATGCCTGATACCGGGTTTTGGAGGGGGGTGAGGAGAAGGAGGGAGCTTGAGGATGGTTTTGCTGGAATCTACCTAATTACATGCTAATGGGGCCTCTGTGCTCAGTACCTGCCTGGACTGGGTTGGGGGGGGG